AAAAAAAAAAAAAAAAAAAAAAAAAGCTAAATGAAAAAGCAGGCATGATGATGGCACATGCCTATAATCCCAGCATGTGTGAGGATAACCCTATATTCGGGGCCAGCCAAAATTAGAACTTGAGCAGAACAAGTGATCCTCCTGCCTCGGCTCCACATATGTTCAGATTACAGGCATGTGCCAGCATGCCCAGCTCCAAAAACAATTTTATTTTAAATTTACGCAAACAGATCCATCTTTGGTTCTACACAGGGAACACAAGGCATTGTTCTAACGAATGCAGCTGCACAGACCCATACGCCTCTGAGCAAGAGCAGAGTTGCAGCTCCAGGCTTTGCTCAGTGCTAACAACCAACCTCAGCTGGTCTGCAGACCGAGGCAAGTGGGAAAGTTCTAGAAAGAGAAATGCAGAGCGGGAGAGATGGACACTGAGTTTAAAAGCACTTGCTGCTCTTCCAGAGGACCCAGGTTTGGTTCCCAGCATCCATGTCTGGTGGCTCACAACCTGTAACTTCAGCTCCAGGGGGTCGGACAACACACACACAAACACTCCAAGTTAAATAAATCTTTAAAAAGGGGGGAAAAAGCAGGATGTTACAAATGTGTCAGGCACTCTTCCTCTCCTCCTTTAAAGGCAGGCTCTCAGGGTGTAGCCTTAGCTGTAACTCACTTTGTAGACTGAGCTCAAGCACAGAGATCCACTGCTTCTGTCAGGTGCTAGAAGCAAAGGTATGGCCCACCACACCCAGCCCGGTCTAGAATTTTGACTCCGTGATGTAAAACCCTCCATTCCCATTGCGACAGTGACCAGTTTATGACTGACAGACTTCCAATGCTGACTGGAGATGAACACAGAAAACTAAGACACTTTATCATTTAGGCCAGGGAGAGGTATTCCACATCCTAGCCCAGCCCACCCTGGTTGACAAAGTAGACCAATTATCTCCCTGAGCTACCAACGTGTTCTCTACCACGTACATGAATGAAAGCAGCACACACTTGGGAGACAGAGGCAAAAGGAGTTTGAAGCCATGCTATGCTCTATGAGGTCAGGTGTCAAAAATATCCCAAACCAAATCTGTCCAAAGTCACAGCAGATCTGCTAGGTGATGAAAGCTATTTACCTAAGGTCTTCCCTACTCCAAGAGCTAAGCGAAGATGAGCTAGCTTCAGGTGTCCTTTGATTCGCTCTATCATCGTTGCCAGGGAGACAGGTTCATCCAGTGTGCACAACCGTCCCATTCCGGTATTCAGAAGCAAAGGCTGAAGAGAAACACAAGTTAGAACATTATCTTTCTCCGGTCCAAAGAAATGTATAGAACAATTGGAATCAGTAAGATTTGTGTACATAAGCTCATGATAGCTCAAGCTAAAGTTTGGGATACAAACCTAACAAGAACATCTAACTTCTGGGAGCTCACACCCTGCTAGATATTTAACACATTCAAAACGAAGTTTTTAAATTCAAGGTCGGTGCTACTGTTAGGGAAACAAAGGAATGACAGCCTGGGGGCTGGAGAGAGGGCTCATCAAAAAGAGCACTTCGCTGTTCCTGCAGAGGACCCGGGTTTGGTGCCCAGCACCCACACGGCAGCTCACAACGACTTGTAAACTCCAAGGGATCCAACACCCTCTTCTGGCCTCCACTAGTTATCACTTCTTATGCACATCTACAACAAAAAAGGACAAACAGGGCAGAAAGAAATACAAACTGTAGTTTGAAGAGAACAACACCAGGGAATGTAATGCTTGAGCCAAGAGATCGGGAGAGGACTGATGTGCAATGGAGGTGGGTGCCCTCAGGGGAAGACCCCACCCGGTTCAGCTTCCAACCTGTGAAACTAAGGGATTTTCTGTTCCTAAATAGCAACAACCAGAGGCTTCTGCAGATGTGATTTAAGGGGGACAGGCTCCACCTCAAGTGGGCAGCTGAAGGGTTGCTGTGGGATAATGCTTTTGTACACTGGTTTAATAAAATGCTGATTGGCCAGTAGCCAGGCAGGAAGTATATACGGGATATGCAGACAAGAATTCTGGGGAGAGAAAGGCTGAATCAGCAGCATGTAATGGCACACAGGTAAAGCCACTGAACACTTGGCGACATATAGATTAGCAGAAATGGGCTGAGTTTAAGTGTAAGAGCTAGTCAGTAGTGAGCCTGAGCTAATGGCGGAGCAGTTTTAATTACTATGAGCCTCTGTGTGTTTACTTGGGTCTGAGCAACTGTGGACCGGACAGGACACAGGAAACCTTTCAGCTACAAAGGGTGCACTACTAAAAATGTCAAGGAGTCTTCCTCCACGGCTATGGAGAGCCACTGAAGCCAAGTGGGTGGAGGGAAAGTCCCTACATGGGGCACTGAGAAGCCATTCTGCAGACTTGTAAAGCGAAGCCTGGGTTGCACTAGAGAGCCCAGGATGCTGGAGATGTCAGAGCCGGGGGTCCCTGCTGAGGAGAGCTGCAGACAGAATAGAACCAGCTCAGGAGAGTGACGGCTAAAGTAACATTTTAAGTTTGAATCACTGTGCTTAAGAGACCCATTAAACAAAAACGCCTCTAACCAGTAAGCCCGATTTGCCCAAGGAGAGATAACTTCCTGGAATGTCAGGGGCTATTCATGGAAGATGACAAGCACAAGTTTTCACTTCTGTAAACCAGGCTGGCTGCCCTAACTGTGCAGGATGTGCCTGATCACACACAGGCAGGGAGTACATCAGGATGTGTTCGGTCCCCTGACTGGATGAAGATGGGAAGTATACAGCCTTGTGGGTTTTGCCTTTATAAGCACTGACTAACGTAATCTGTGGCCAGTCTCTGAGAGTCCCAGATAGGAACCTAAACAGTGTCCATTGTCCTGGCCAATATTTAATAAACCTTGCTTCAAATTTGAGTCAAAAACTGTGGTAGTGGGGCTGGAGAGATGGCTGCTCTTCCAGAGGTCCTGAGTTCAATTCCCAGCAACCACATGGTGGCTCACAACCATCTGTAATGAGATCTGGTGCCCTCTTCTGATGTAAGGACACATGCAGGCAGAACACTGTGTACAGAATAAATAAATCTTTTTTAAAAAACTGTGGTGGTGGTCTTATTCTCACCCGGCAGGTCAACAAGAGAAGTGTGTTGCACTCAGCAAAGCCGTAATGGAGGAGCCATCTAAGCCCTCTGACACCAGACACGCAGCTACAGGATTTGGAATTTGCCTTGATGGGCTCCAGGTTGGCTTTGTTCCAGTATTTCCTCACTATGCCCCCATTCTCCTTTTTGGAATGATAATGTATATTCTATGCCATTGTATGTTGGAGGTATGTAATTTGCTTTTTGATTTCATAGGGGGTTACAATTAAAAGGTTGCCTTGAGTCTCAGTGTGGTGGTTTGAATAGATATGGCCTCCATAGACTCAGGTGTGTGAATGCTCGGCCCATAGGGAGTGGCACTGTTAGGAGGTGTGGCCTTGTTGGAGGAAGCGCGTCACTGTGGAGGTGGGCCTTGAGGTCTCCTATACTCAAGCTATGCCCAGTGTGACAAAACAGTCTCCTTTGCTGCCTACAGATCAAGATGTAGAACTCAAGCCAAGCGGTGGTGGCTCAAGCCTTTAATCCCAGCACTCAGGAGGCAGAGGCAGGTGGATCTCTGAGAGTTTGAGGGCAGCCTGGTCTACAGAGTTAGTCCAGGACAGGCTCCAAAGCTACAGAGAAACCCTGTCTCGAATCCCCACGCCAAAAAAAAAAGAGAAAAGAAAAATTAAAAAAAAAAAAAAAAAAAAAGATGTAGAACTCTCAGCTCCTTCTCCAGGACCACATTTGCCTACATGCCACCATGCTTCTCACCATGAAGATATCGGACTAAACCTCTGAAACTGTAAGCTAGGCCCAGTTAAATTTTTCCTTTATAAAAGTTGGTGTGGTCATGGTGTCTCTTCACAGCAGTAAAACCCTAACTATGACACTCAGAAAAAACATTGAACTTTGGACTTTTAAAAAGTATTGAGACTGTGAAAGACTATGGGAACTTTAGAAATGAAATGAATTTTTCCTGATGGCGTGGGGGCCAACATGTTGAATGTGGTAGTTTGAGTGAAAATAGCCCCACCCCAAAGGTTCGAGTTTGGGAAAGATTAGGAGGTGTGGCCTGGTTAGAGGAGGTCACTGGGGGCAGGCTTTGAGGTTTCAAAAGACCCAAGTTATTCCCAGTGCTCTCCCTCTGCTTTCTACTTGTGGATCGAGATGTGAGCTACCAGCTGTTCAGGCCGCCTTGCCTTTTCTCTGCCCTCTCTAGCCCTTTGAAACTGTAAACCCAATCACACACTTATTTTCTTTTTTGTAAGCTGCCTTGGTCATGGTATTTTGTCACAGCAACAGGAAAGGAACTAATACAGGAGGGCAATGAATACCAGGGCTAAAACCACGAAGAAGAAAGAACAGTGCTTTCCTAATCCTAGACTATCTCCTCACGATAAAGTTTCCAGGAATACGTCCTCACCACTCTCGGTGCTTGTGTGTGTCTGTGTGTGCACACTCAGTCGGTTCTCTCCGTCTGTGAGTTCTGTGAATCACACTCACGGGGCCAGGCTTGGCCACAGCCACCTCTACCTGCTGAGCCGTCTTGCTGGCCCTTGGTGACTTAATAGTTGACAAATGCATCTGCAGCACAAGAACAATAGTAATGCAATCTGCCAACACTCACACATCATTCAACACCCAGGATCTGCAGGCCAGTCATTCACACATTCAACACACACAAGATCCACATGTCAGTCATGGCCAGTCATTCACACATTCAACACACACAAGATCCACATGTCAGTCATGGCCAATCATTCACACATTCAACACACACAAGATCCGCATGTCAGTCATGGCCAACACTCACACATCATTCAACACACACAAGATCCGCATGTCAGTCATG